ATTTTTCTAGATCCGTCCCTGAATTGACATATATAATTTGTGTTTGAATTCTCAAAAAAAGTCTTAATAAGTTTCAGTAATAAATAAATTAATTCTCTCCTGACTTTTAAAAGTTCCAAAATCTCAATTCGATAACTCAAGAATTTTAAAAATTACAAGAAGTCAAAATCGAGATACACAATTTTTTTTTAAAATATTAAAAAAATTAAAAATTCCCAAATGTATGTGCCCTTAACGTATTCTATTTTTTTTACAAAAAAAAAAAAAACATATGTGGATCTTTTTTATACTGAAACTTGTGCTATCTAAACTACACCGCAAATGTATAAATTGATTAGTAACTAAATATTGTTTTGAAAAAAAAAAGATTGGAAAAATTATCATGAAAAACGTATGATGTATTAATGCTTCAATATATACCAACTAAGTGTATTAGTCAGCCCCATATAAATTTTAATCCTGGCTACGCCATTGTATAAATTTGAATCCTGGCTACGCCACTGTATAGGCAGTACTAACTATTAGGCAACAATATTTTTTTTTAATAAATATACTATTTTTCAGACAGAAATGTTATATTTTCAACTATAACATAAATTAAAAATATAAAGCCGTCCAAAACTTTATATTCTGCATATATTATTTAAATTTAATATTATTTATTTAATTCTCACCTGCCATCAGAAATAGTGGAGTTTTTAGTGGCCATCGTGCAATAACTATAAAGTGTAGGGGCATAAATGCAAATCAACCTTTTACTTTTCTAGTTGGCCACAACTTATATAAACAAAGTTAGTGGTCATTTATGATTTTCACTTATGTTCACTTCAACTACTCTTCACTTTCTCTCACTAAAAAAAAATACAAAAACAAAATAAAAAATAAATGGAGAAGCAGAATTCGACGGGCGCCGCCGGCCTCATTCGTACGAAATCCGACCAGCTGGTGGAGACCATCGCGGCCGCCCTCGGCGTCATGCGGTCGCCGGCCTCTTCGTCCGGCGGGGAGCCGCCACCGTCTGGCGGCGCCACCGGGTCGGAAGGCGGCGGCGGCGGAGCTTTGTCGAGAAAATCGAGCCGGAGGCTGGCGTCGGCGTCTCCGGGGAGGATCGGCGGCGGCAGCGTTGGCCGGAACAGCCACATAAGGAAGTCGAGTAGCGCGCAGATGAAGTTCGACGTGGAGGATCTGAATAGCGGCGCCGCCCTAAGCCGGGCGTCGAGCGCAAGCCTAGGCTTCTCGTTTTCATTCACCGGATTCACAGTGCCGCCAGACGAGATCTCCGGCACGGCGCCGTTCAGCGATGAGGATATCAGTGAGTTTTTTCTTTTTCTTTTTCTTTTATTTTTTTTCATAAATAAACACAAATAAATTTCACACACACATATGTAATGCTACAGTCCCGTTACGAAACCATTACATTAGAATTTGTAACCATTAGATCATCATGTAACCATCGTGGATAGTTGATCTAACGGTTATAAATTCCGACGCAATAGTTTTGTAACGAGACCATAGAATCTCCATGTAAATGTAATAAAAAAAATAACTATATATGTATGTATTATGTAATTATAATTTTAAAACACATATATTAGTGGTGATGATTAATTAATAAGGATGGCCATGCCCATGCATGTATTTATCAAGTCAATGCTCACACCTAAATTACCTAAAACACATGTCAAGTTTAACTTTATTTTGGAGGCTACCTATAAAATACATAATAATTAATCAAAAAACTTATCACAAAACAAAAAGTTGTTTTTTAGATATTAATTAGTTAATGAACTTATGACATTTGGTTCAGCTCGACTCGTTTAACGATCTTTAGGCACGCTAAACTTCTAGCATAAGTCGGCTTGCTAGACTCGTTGATCGATTTGCTAGGTTGACGAGTTGAGTTCAATTCGACTCAATAAGGCGCGCTAGAATCAAATCGTGAATCGACTCGTTTACTCTTAATTAGCAAGACTCATTAGATGTGAAACTTCAATTAAATTGCAAACTCTTGGCATGGGATTAAAAAATTAATTATAAACATTAGAAAGAAATATTATTGTTGGTATGATTAGCATGATTATTTTTGTTGTTATATTAATATTATCATAGTACTAGACTACTAGTTTGAAATAATGGGGAGAATGAGTTGACCAAAGCCAAAAGGTAGTAATCATAGTGATGCAAGTATAATTATCATATAGCAAAAACACATCCCACCCAAAAAGAATTTGCTTGTCTAATTATTAGAAATTTTGAATGGACATAATTTTTTATTTTTTATTTTTTTTTGAAAATATATTTAAAAAAGTGGGCTAAAAAAGGAATGGTGGGTATTGTATCTTGGCTTGGGCCAATTGAAAGCAGTAGTGGACAGCTGGACATGTGTCAATAGTCAGATACAAATGTCTAGTGACTTGTCATATGGGCCCCCACAAACTTAAAATGTTGAAGTTGGTCTGCTGATTGGGCCCACTTAATTTTTACACATTTGCTTCATAAGAGCATCTTTAATAAGAGGTTTTCAAGAGGTTTACAAATACAAACCTCATAGCTTTTCCATTATATTGATCAGGTTTGAGGTTTATAAAAACTCCACCAGGTTTGATTTCACAAACCTCTTCTAAACCTCAAAAGTAAAATGAGAAATATTATATAAATAGTTCACTTAATGGAATGTGTAGTACACTGCTTGAGAGAAAAGCTTTACATCAATGTTGGAGACACACGCACTTCAAATCATGTGTTGGACACCATGGCCCACACCTGCCACACTTGTAGACATTTGCTTTAATTTATTTAGTTTTTTTTTTTTTTTAAGATTTATGATTATTTGGGTTTTGTGGTTATTGGAGTAAAAATTTGATTTTAGATGACATGGCACTTTGAAAATTGAAAAGATAGGTTTTTAGAGGTTTACCACTAAAGTTGCTCTTCTTGCTTATTTATGGCCAAATCATACACTAAATACTGTACTTTTATGCTTTTACGAGGGGGTTTGATATTCGATCTTATGTACATGCACATAGGAAACATAAATTTATATTATATGTATGTATATAATATTTTAAACTTTAAATTAGATAACATGTATATTACATTTTAAAAATTTGACTATATGTAAATGTATAATATAAATATAAATTATTTAACTTACATATAAATCAGTTTTTTATTTTATATTTTTTTTTTTGTTATTGTATAATTATAATAATACAAAATAGGAATGTTAGCTGTAAAATAATTTAATATTGCATATTTCAGAAAATTTGAAATCTTGTAATAATAGTTGTTACAGAAAAAAAATCTATTACTATATAATTAGGCAACCCACTTACTAAAAATAGCAAGTGTTTTAGTGGGTCACTCATTATATTACTATTTATGGAAAGTTAGTTCCAATTTTTTATTCTTTTATTAAACGTGCTTCAACCTCCGTTATTTTTTTTTATTTTTAATAATATGTTAATAGTAAAAGTAGACCTAAATTTGTTATTACCATTTATAGATAGACATTTTAAAATGCTTTGTCTGTTTTGATTTCTCATTAATAAAAAAGTAAATTTCTTTTTACATGTAAATGATATGTTGAATCACGGTGAATTATTTATGATGTATGCTAAATAATAATTTATATTTAAAGTCTTCCTAAAAATATGAAGATACTAGATAATAATATAATACTTATTTAAATAAAAGAATGGTTCATAAATAAAAAAATTGTAAATATATGTATAGAAAATAATAGTTAATAAATAAGATTACATTATAAATTATAAAACCAGACAAGTAAGAAATAATATATTCAAGTGTCAAAATACGATCTAAATTACATGATAAATTCAAACAAACTGTAATAAAATGTGTTAAGATAATAAAATAATTTGAGAATTTTCTTATATCCCAACTATATATATTTGCGCATTTAGAACATGATGTTCCAATTAAATCAATTTAGTTACTCAACTTTTCGTTTATCAATAAATTTTGGTCCACATCGTTAGATTTCATAAAAAAATAAATAAATAAATTACTGTTTTAGAAAGAATTTCATTAAATTCAAGGAAAAATATATAAAAAAACTAAAAAAAAAACTATATAAAAAAAAATCGTTAATACTATGTCAATTTGTTCTATTAATAAAAAAAATAAAGAATATATATATATATATATATATATATATATATAGAAATCTACTTTTAGGCTTTTAATTTTGAACTTTACATTGTTGCTTCTCGAGTTACAAATAAAAAGACACAAGATACTGATATATAATGAGACATAAAATATACAAATATAAACATTGTATATATATATAGTAGTCTATTTTAATGGCATATAAAAATTATTTATTCTATTTTATGTTTCCTTATTTCATTTATTTTTAATAGTTCCGTGCATTTGCACGGGCTAACGTACTAGTAATAATAATAAGGTTTTACTTGTGTATTTGTCATTGAATGCTGGTAAAAAAGATTATTATTAAATTAAGACCTATTATTCTTAATTGTTGTCTAAATAAAATTTATTTAAGTTTGCTAACAATTATATATAGATATATATTTTATTATATATATATATATATATATATATATATATATATTTAACAGAACATTAAAGTGGCCTAATCATTACTATTCCTTTAACAAAAAATTACACACGTTATGACATATTTTACTCATGTTTTAGAATTTGCATTAAAGAAATATGATTGTAAATAGTAGCTTTAATATATGTTGTGCTTTAATATACTATATTTTAGCAGCTGAAGATCTTGAGGCTGGCAGACAAAAGAAGAAACTTCAAACAGAACCCACCTTGCCAATATACCTCAAGGTATCCTATACAAAATAAATAGATTTTTTTTTTTTCTTTAATTTTGTCAAGTAAAAATTTGTGTTTGAGCTCATCCGTTTAATTGCTCGTTCAAGTTTGAGTTCGTTTGTGTTTGAAAAAAGCAGTAACTAATCTTTTTGAAATTATTTGATTAGCTCGGGATCAGTTCGTTTGAAATCAACCGAGCTCGACAAATATTGACGAAAGTTCGTCGATAGGCTCGTATCTCTTTGATTAAGAA